TATCAAACGTGATATAACTGAAGAAGGTCACTGGGAATAAATTTATAGAAAGAGAACAATAAGAAGAGAAAAGAAGGGCGCCAACTCAACGATAGTTGAGATTTTGAAGTAACAAATGAATCTGGAGATAATACTCTGAAATACAAAAATACTAAATAATAATCTTGTTTTGCTATGTTATATACTGGTTAGTAGAACTGAAATAAAACTCAAAATAGCAACAATAAATATATTTATAAAAATTTATATAGGTATATGTGTATAAACAATTTACATATAATGCAAAGCCAAATAACAGTTGTAGTGGATGGTGTACAGATACAATGGGACCTAATAGCCCCTCAACAAACGAATAGTCACTACCACTGGCCAAATAAAATATGAAATATTAGTATACAACAAGAATAGTCCGTATTGTAGCCTAAGTCTTAACACAAAAAGGTAGTAATTTAACTTAAATAGTTCTACTAATATGAGATACTAATGACAATATTGTAAAGATATCAAACTTGATAAGTCTATTACAATTATTATATTACATCCAAAAAATGAGTTGTTCCATACTCATTATATCATATTTAAAAAAAACATTAAATTTATTTCCCTCCCTGAATATCAAATGGTATTATATCAAATGTATTGTATTAACAAAACATATATTAAATCAACAAGTGAGTTCTAACTAAAACCTAATAACACATGAAGTGTCCCTTTTTCCTCCCCGAATATTTTATAATTAAATTATCAAAAAAAAATTATCATAAAGGTATTTACCTTATCATATGCATATAAGAAGTTAACAGTAAATAGAAAGTAATACGTAATACAAAAAGTCAAATAGTTAAACAACTTATCTTTACAGCACTATAAGTCCATAGGAAAAACTCCTCTTGGCGCGGCTACATCAGTTTATGGCTGTAAAGACAAATCCTGGTCACAAAAGCCACAACCAGTCACTGGTCTCTGGGTGACAGCAAAATCCACGGGTTTGCTAACTAGTTTAAGGATTCAGTTACTTGAGTCCTTGAGGGAATATTCTGAAAAGAATATCCTCAAGTGAAGTGAAATTAATATTTTCACGTGACGGAATCTAAAATGATTATTTAATTTAATAAATATGTAATTTAATAGGTGTAGCAGCATGGATTGACTGCACCAAAGAATGCACCTGTACTGCAATGCACAAATACTGCACCTGTAGAACCTTTTATATTCCACCAAAAAAGTTAGGTAAAAAAAAAACCAAAAAAACTTAATGGTAACGACATGGAATAAAACAGAATTTAAGTTTAACTATATAAAAAAAAATGACCTTCTGTTCTTTGCAAGTAAATCAAGGAAATTTTATATTTAAATTATTTCGGAACTCAAAAATAAATCTCTAAAGAAATACTAAATACAATGATAAATTTGATTATATGATAAGGAGATAATACGTATGAAATGATTTACTTACATGGAACTGCAGCACGCCAAAAAAAACTCTTCCTTTTTATATGGAACTCATAAATGAATATTGATTTTATTATATTTACTTATTTATATTATTATTAATGAATTATATTCTTCCCCAAATTATCTTCCTTGCTCCAATTCCGTCACTTTGAAGGTGAACAATTTCACCGGCTGACGTGGCTGCGTTCGAGTTCTGACCAAAACTGATCGTTTTCGTACAAACTCGACCAATCTTTCAAAGCGCTAACCGCGTGGGTGGAGAAATGTCGATTTAAAATCGATCGTAGGCGGGTAATAAAAATTTCTAAAGGGGTTAATCAGTAGCGTAAACGCTACAAGTGGTATTTTTATCTTTGTCTTCCAGCTATTTCGCCGTGTTATAAAAAATCGTCCTTCCCGATTTTCTCGTGCCTGCTGGCCTTAAATCCTTTTCTGTTTGGGCTGAATGCTCACAACTTATTTGTTTAACATATTGCTTCTATTGACAACCTCTTTGTTTTTTTTTTATCGTACTATATCCTGTATTTTAATATCATGGACAGAACACGTCATAAACAAAGAGGTTCTGAGAAAGATGAATAAAGAAATAGACATTTTAAATACAATTAAAACAAGAAAATTGGAAAATCTCGAATATATTATACGTGCAGAGAAGTACACCTTGCTCCAAGTGATTCTACAGGGAGAGATCCAAGGAAAAAGAAGCATAGGGAGGCGCAGAATGTCATGGCTGCGCAACCTGAGAGTGGTACTGATGTACATCAAATAAACTTTTCAGAGCAGCCGTCTCAAAAGCCCGAATACCTATGATAATTGCCGACCTCCGTCGCAGAGATGGCACTTGAAGAAGAAGATATCCTGTATTTTACAAAAAATTTTATATTATGTCTCTGGATGTTTTCTTAGCAAATAATCTTAACGATACTATTTCTAACATTTTAAGTATTCTTTTTTTTTACTTTACCTGCTCTCGTTTTTACTGCTTGCGTAATTGTTTATCTAACACATAACTGATATATTCGTACTTTTCCATAATATAATCCTATATTCTTCCCTGATGATATTTCTTATATATTCTGAAATATAAGCAGCTTTACTGCTTTCTTATAGCCTCTTTAGGGTTTTCGTAGATAAATATTTCTACTCGCAAATATTCATATTTTGTTTAATTTGATTCTTATTTTGCTTTTTCCTTACCTTTTTCCTTTTAAAAATCGCTTCTACTTACTTTTCTTCACCACTTATTTCTACCGATAATGTTTCTTCAATTAAAATCTTCTCTCTCAAGTCATCTTCCATACAGTTCCTTCATTTTCTTTTCGGTTTATCTTTCTTCCTCTTTCCCCAAACTTATCTGCAATACTGCAACAACTCTAATCTTTGTTTCACTTTTTTCCTTTGTTTGTTCTTCAACCTATTTGGAGAATTTAACCTGCCTGGCTCTTTCGCTTAAGAGGTTTTCTGATCTTGTCCCTTTTATTTTAATCCAACATCTTCAGTAATATTTTTATTTCAGTTACCTTCATCTTCTTTGCCTCAACCCACCTTACATTCATACTTCCCCACCGTACACCGTACACTCTTGTATATCTTTTCTGTCAGCCACTTCTTTTTTTTTATTTCTTTTACAGAATATTCCACTTATTTATTTAGATTGAAAACAACCAGCCTGTATTTTATGGGTAATTTCCTGATCTAGTGTCCCATTTTCCGGTATTTAGAAGCCAAGTTATTTAACTTAACCTACACCTCTTAGTTTTTAGGAAAGCAATTCGTTATTGTCAACCATTTTTTCGCCCTACCGACCTTATGTCATTCATTTGCAATAGCCCTTCTCCAACGTTTAAACTGTTTCTTTAATATTTCTTTGCTCTCCTCCACTGACAACACTAACACGATATCATTTATAAGAGGCATTGACCAGGGAGCACGCTCACCTAACTTCTCTGTTATTACATCCATAACATGATTAAATAGGTAAGGACTCGGTAAAGAATCTTAATGCAAACAAACGGTCACTGGAAAACTTTCGGTCAGTCTGACACAAGTCCTTACTTTGGTGTACAATTCTCTGTACAATTTTTTAACGAGCCTTACATACTTCTCAGGCGTTCATTTTTTTTTTTCATATGTTTCCACTGATTTTGTTTAGAAATTTGTCGTACATCTTATCCAGGTCTATTAATAGCAATAGTAGCTCTCTTTTCTTCCACTCCATATTTCTCTAATATCTGTTTAAAAGTAAATTAGTTCCCTTTTTAAGCTTTGCTTTACAGTTTTCTTATAACGTTTCATTATGTGCTATATAAAGGTTATTTCTTTACAGTTCTTACAGTCCTCGATGTCCATTTTATCTTTATGAAAAAAGACTCTTTATCTGAACAAAGACTTTTTAATTTCCACAAGGAATCTACGTTCCTGTAGTTGGCTGTATATTATATATTAAAAAATTTATTAAAAATCCCTTGTAAAAAGTATATATTTAAGACCCAAACGGGCTAAGTTAAACAGACGAAACGTTTTCGAAATCCATATTCCATCATCAGTGTCCTAAAAAATATGTAACCACTTAATTAAAAAGAACATAGGTTTAAAATTTTGACTAAGTTTAATACAAAGTGTGGTTAATACCACACTTTGTTTAATAAGTGTGTGCTTACTACGAGTACATGAATGTAGCCAATAAATATATGGGTAAAAACCCGTTAACAAATAATTAATTACATTTAGTTTACAAAATTTCTTATAATGATTTAAGATGTTAAAGTTACCGTTGGATTAGGTGACATGGCAACTTCAACGTGGAGTCATATGTCGCCATGTTACCTAATTCAACGGTAACTTTGAATCTTAAATCACTATAAGAAATTTTGTAAACTAAATGTAATTAATTATTTGTTAACGGGTTTTTACGCATATATTTAGTGGCGGGCTTCATGTACTCCTAGTAAGTATTAACCACACTTTGTATTAACCTTAGTCAAAATTTTAAACTTATGTTCTTTTTAATTAAGTGGTTACATATTTTCTAGGACACTGATGATGAAATATGGGTTCCGAAAACGTTTTGTCTGTTTAACTTAGCCCGTTTGGGTCTTAAATAATATACCTTTTACAAAGGATTTTCCTTAAATTTTTTAATTTATTTTATATTCTATGGTTTTGCAGTGTTTTTACATCACAAGTACTGTACCCCGCGCCGCTTCGCTGACGTGTAACGAGCATAATCGTCCTCCACCACTATGCGAACTGCACTGATTACTGCGCATCAGAGTTTACGCAGGCCACACCTCCCACTGCTTACCATCCGTCGCCAGCCGCCATCGTGCCAGTGTGCTACTAACACGTAGGCTAGTCGGCTAATCTATTACGTTGGTACTGAACAGTGAACTTGATTAATTCTTTGTCTTGATTCCTCGTATACAATAATGAGTGTAAAACCAGTAAAACAGAAAATTAATAGTGAGAACAGAATTTACAAAGAAAGTTGGGAGAGTGATTACTTGAGTGCTAATAATAATGGAAAGTTTAAGTGCTTAGTGTGCATGAATGTTGTTTCAGTGCCTAAAGAATATAATGTGAGAAGACATTACACAACAGTGCATGAAAATAAGTATGCTACGTACACAAATAAAAGTCGGCGTGTCCTAGTTGCTGATTTGAAGAAAAAGCCTAAACAGCAAACTGGTATGTTCAGTAAAACATTACACTCTCAAAAGCATTCTTTGCATGCATCTTATGCCGTGTCGCTTGTGCTGGCAAAGGCAAAAAAACCTTTCACTGATGGCAATTTAATAGAAAAATGTGCTGTTGAAATGGCCTAAGCTTTCGGTGATTCTAAAATGGCGGAGAAATTTGGATTACTGCCACTTTCACATCAAACCGTACAAAGAAGGATTGTTGCTATGGGTAGAAAAATCTATATTTAGCCTGGTTAAGAAAAGTTCATATTTCTTACTTTGTTTGAATGAAAGCACTGATTAAACCGATGTTAGTCAACTGTTAATATTTGTGCGCACTACTTTTGATGATTTTACCAGTAAAAAGGAGTTATTTGATATTTTTCCTCTTTATGGAACAACAAAAGGAAAATACATCTATGAGGCTGTGAAGAAAATAGTTGACAGAATTGGAGGCTTTAATCCCTGCATTCCTTAACAAATACGTTTCATCTGACATAACTGAACTGGAAGAGAAGCTTAAGGATCCAGAATTCTTAAGACCGTTAGCTTTTATAACAGATCTGACTAATCATCTTAACATGTTAAACTTGAGTCTTCAAAGAAGAAACCAGACGGTCTCAGATTTGATCGGAATGATAAACGGATTCCGGAATAAGCTAAACGTGTTTAAACATGCTTTGGAAAAAAACAACCTGACACACTTGCCTAGCTGTCTGCAAATAGCAGAAGAATTCAACGCTGAGGAAAATATTGAATTTTCATCCTGCATTTCACAAGTTGAACAAGTTATTGATAAATTCAATACAAGATTTGAAGAAATTGAAAGTCTTAAAAGCAGTGTACCATTTTATAATAACCCTCTTAAAGCAACCATTGATGATTAACCACCCAACTTACAGCTTGAGTTAGGTGATCTTTAAGCAGACATGTTTCTAATCACCAGCCAAAAAGAGAGAACTGAATTTTTCAAATTACTGTCAAAGGAGAAATTCCCAAACCTGCGAGATTTTGGACTGAAAATGACGTCAATGTTCGGAAGCACATAATATATATGTAAAAGTGCCTTTTGCTCCATGAAATAAATAAAAAATAAAAACAGAAGCAACCTTACCGATTCTTCCTTATGTCATCTTATGAGATTGTCTACAACTGAACTCGAGGAGGACATTTCTTCATTGGTGGATGAAGCCGATCGACCACAGTCCTCACACTAATTGGATACATCTTCTTCGTTGCTTTTGCAATGTTTGTCTTGATTATTGAAAAGTGTTATCAATAAATTTTCCGTTTATAAAAAAATGTAGTTGTTGAGTAATAAAAGAAATAATACTCTTTTTTGTTTTAATTATTTTTATACCTCACTTTATTTTATTATTACTTGTAACATAATTATTATATGGTCCGCGACAACATCAAAGGTTTTAGTTTTGGCCCTTGAGGCATTGCAAGTTGAACACCCCTGTGTTAACCAAATACGCTGCGTATCTCTCGCGGCGTATTTTACGTCCGTCTATTGCCTGCCTAATAGCGTGTTACATGCTTTTATTTGGTCTAGTTAAGTTTTCATTTCTTCTTCGCTAGATATTGCATTTTCTGAAAATTTATTTCTAGACTATTCTTCTAGTACTCTTTTTAAAATTTTCTGACTATAAATCTTAAGTGTCCCTTATCTTGTATTAAGACTAACTAATCATCTGCAAAGTTAAATGTGTATAAATGATCATTTCTTACTAGGGCAATTTACCCCATTTCTTTACATTTCCTTTGCCAAGATTTAAGGGTCTGTTTTAAAAATATTTTAAAATGTGTTAACGATGTGGAGCAGCCTTTAGCCACTTTGTTGTCTTGAAGCTGTTGGAAATTTTTTTGGTTCCCATCTTTACTATGATATAAAGTACAATAATAATAAATACTGTACTGCACTAAAATCAAATCGTATTTCTTACCATAGTTACGAATTTAAACCTTAAAAATTGTTAATTTCTGTATTTATGGAGGTATTTGGCTGTAATTAAAGATCGTTTCAATGACGTTCTCTAAATTTAATAACTATAGGAAAGTCATATTTTTTTGTCAAAAAGTAGACAACAAAGGTGAAGCAGAAGTCAAAATGCTCCGTGATGCGAATAATAAAGAGCATCTTAATCAGTTTTTGGTTTCGAAGTGAATAAAGCCGATACCGAGTTAGCTTCCTGAAAATAATGTATTTCCGCGAGTAACAATGTAATTTTGGGTGAAATAAGGCTTATACGTTAGTTACTAACTGTTCGAGATCAGTGGAGCGCTAAATATGACAGGAGGGCAAAATAAAAAATTGTCGTTTTTAGTAAGCTCAACATTTTTAAGTTTAAAATTACTCAATATAAGTTACTTTTGATTTATTATTAACTATATTATTTTTTCACTAAATGAACGACAAACAAAACATATTTACCTTTTTGTATATAAATTAAATGTAGAATAAAATCGAATTTACTTGGTAAAAAACCTTCTTTAGTAGTAGTATAAGTTTTAGTTATAATTGGCCGTTTTCCTAAATTTTTTCGTTTTTCGTAGCATATGTTGCAACTAAAATTCTCTGGAATATTTTCGTTTGTATAATTAACTCAATTTTTTTAAGTGTGATTACTTTTTGTCTGGATAAGAGTTATGACGAAATATATAGCAACTAAAACATTATTTTTCTGACTAGTATCTTGAAATATATTCTATAGTCACGGGACCAATGAAACCAACATTCTTCCATGAAGAAGACAGACTACATACCTACCCACACGTAACAATTCTACACAACGTGGGTCAACAACATGAAGTACAATCTGAGAATGAAGCGGATTCAACACATAATCCAGGTGTGCTGATCCTAAGCAGTAGTAGCAAACTACCGATCATATAAAAGAACAGATACAAACTAGTCTAACTACAAAATAGTAGTGTGCAAAAAAACAGGAGCAGTTACTACAGTAAAAATTAAGCAAGAACTCTGGGAGTATGCCCTAAAATCCAGCATGAAAGAGGAAACGACAAGAGGACTATGCTGATGATATCAATATTGTTTGGGAGAACGGAAAACGCAGCACGAGAGGCGTATGTAGCACTAAAGAAAGCGGCTACAAAAATGGGTTTAATAATAAACATTAATCAAAAGAAATACATGAAACTAGGTCCGCAACCACAAATACGACGGTCACTTGTTATAGAAAACGACGTCATCGAAGCAGTTAACGAATTTGTATACCTGGGAACACTCGTCAATACTGAAAATGATATTACCGCAGAGATAAACCGCAGAATTTGCACGGCTTATAGATGCTATTTTCTTAATCTCTTAATGGGCTTAATCTCCTTTTCAAATCTACAGCTATATCAAGAAATACAAAAGTAATACTCTACAAAACAATAATACGCCCAGTCCTAACATATGGTTCAGAAATCTGGACTTTAACAAGAAGCAATGAAAACATGTGAGGATGTTTCGAAAGAAAAATACCAAGGCGAATCTATGGAGCAGTAAATGAAAATGGTGTCTGAAGAAGTGTCTACAACTTCGAACTCTGTAAAATATACCAGGAACCAGATATCGTAAAACACATTAAGATAGGACGTCTGAGGTGGGTAGGTCATGTAATACGGATGGAGCAAACCAAACCAGCTAGAAAAACGCTCCTTGATAGACCTATTGGTCAAAGAAGAAGAGGAAGGCCCAGAACAAGATTCCTAGATAACATAGACCACGATATGAGAAATATGGAAATACGTGCTTGGTGGAGGAAGGCGATGGATAGGGACGACTGAAAGAGAATTCTTGGGGAAGCTAGGACCCACACAGGGTGGTAAAGCCAAAATGATGATGATAAAGAGGAAACAACTTCAATCACCAAAGAAAGGTTCACGGAAATTAACAGTAAGCTAAAGGTACTAATACAAGATAACCACTGGCAAAGGAGAAGAGCAAACCGGACGGAGAACCGAGAGGACAAAAGAACTACTAACAAAGTAAATAGAACATCAAAAAACAACCAGTGGCATAGGTTGTTTGTTAGGTGCAACAAAAACTGGGACAGCTACGCACAGCAGCTAAATTTTAAAAAATCTGAGTTCTACAAGCAATAAAAAATAAAGAGAAAAGGCAAGTAACCAATTCCGGTACTGCGTGGAGAGAATGAAATGGTACATTCTGATAGAGACAAAGCGAAAGTCATGAAGGACACATTAGAAAGAGGATATAGGAATATGTATTACCCCAACGAGGAGATTTCCTGAAAGTAATAGAAAGGAGAAGTAAAATACAAAAAAGGAAAAGTGGTGCCATAGGAGCTGCACGAGACTCTCCAAAAAAGAATAATCAGCTAATCAAAAATAACTAACACAAAAAAGGCTTGTTTAATTTTTCACATTCGAAAAATCATATCAATTTTTCTCTGTATTAATTACTATCATATTACCACAGTTCTACAGTCATTACCCTAGTACAACCCTTGATAATACTTCTTCTTCAGCTTCAACCCCACCCCATTAAAAATACAGAAAGTTGTATTGGCTGTCGCTAGAAACAGACGTTCTCCCTCTCGCTTGCTGAGTTTCGCTAGCAGCAGACGTACCCTCTCTTTCCTGTTGACTCTTCTGTACTCTCTCTACTATTGACTACCGCTAACCACAGACAGTCTCTCCTTCCACGTTTATCTTCTTCTTCTTTGGGTGCCGTGTCCGTATTCAGACGTTGGCCGTCATCATGTTTACAATTTCCTGAAACCCTTCTCTGTCGACTTCTGCGCGAAATAATTCTTCTACTGTGTAACCACACCATTGTCTAATATTACGCAGCCATGAAAGTTTCTTTCGACCAATCCATCTCTTTCCTTTAACTTTTCCTTGTAATATAAGGCGAAGTAAATGGTATTTAGGTTCTCTAATTATATGACCGAAGTATTCTGTTTTTCTCCTCTTTATGGTGTTTAAGAGCAGACGTTCTGAGGTGATCATTTGAAGAACATCTTCATTGGA